TTTTTTTTATTTCATGATGCATTTCATTATTATTATATTAATTACATTTTTTTTTTTAATTCTTAGATATGAAGTTGACAGTTTATATTATGATGTTTATATTACTTTTTGTAATATAGTTATAATATTATATATTATAACACTCACCAGTTATTATTATTATTTGTATTGTATTTGTATTTTTATTGTATTTATATATAAATATAAACAAAAATATTGATATTCCAATATTATATTATATTGTTATTATTTAATATTTGTATGATACAYGAGTCAATAAATTAACATTTTAGTTGAAATTGTTTATTTAATTACAATAATCACACATATTTAAAATTAATTAAAATTTTTTTTTATTATTGTTACGATGTTTAAATTATAATATTACAATACTATTGGGTTAAAATATTTATCAAATATTAAAAATTATTATTAACCGAATATTATGTAATTAATATTATGAAAATATTGATAATATGTTGTTAAGATAACATGAAAATAGCGGCCAAATAATTTTGTAGTAATGTTACCGTAACATACACAAATATTATTATAACATTAATAAAATATTTTACTAAATGTTACTGTTTTGTAAATAACATTTGTATAACATTCTAATAATATTCTTTTGCTGTCTGGGTAGTAGTCACACACTCTGACATTCACACAATGACACAATACATATTATTTACTATTTAGTTTGAAATTGAGATAATATACAGATAATAAACAATTTCAAGCACGGACTAAGATATATCTTAGTCCGTGATTTCAAGGAAGAATTCAACCACCTATCTAGTTATATCTGTATTTAGACAAGACATTTTTTTTAAATATTGTAGTTTGATGAAACTTGCTATTTGGTCTAAACTCTATGTTGTATCTTATATCTGCAAATTCTATACGTTGCGACTTGCGTATTAATTATGGTATAGTTTATTTTATACTCTATAACCTAGGTATATTAAAATAATGTCCAACGGTGAACCCACTGTTGTATTTTGCACCATTGAAATATTATTAATTTTAAATAATATATTTTTGTCGTGATATTCATCAGCATAAATGAAAAATATAATGCTGGTGAGTAGAGACTATTAATAATCATTAATATTTAAAATTATTTTTATTATGTTATTATGCTGTTCCAATCTGGGTTTTACCCGTTTATGATATTCGGCATTTTACTCATTATAGTATATTTATGGCATTCATTATAATATTATAGTTATTAATAAGTATTATYATGATCAATAACATTATCGTGCTTTATTTTCGTCAACCGTCGGTTTTCGTTTGGTCAGTCGTCACTCGTCACTTAGTCGTCAGTGGTCCAATATTAATATAATGTTTTATATTCTACACGATTTGGGCGATCTGACTATAATATACACGATATAGGTAAGTAATATACAGTATATTATATATTACATCATTACACTTAATTACTTTAACACAATTATTTTATTTATTAACCTCTTTTCAAATGATTACTATAAAATATAAAACAAAGGATAGGTATACCTACTCTTGTGAAGTAATTTTGTTCGTAGTTCTAAGGGCACAGTATATAAACACCAGCGTTTTTCTGTCTCCTTTTATCTAACATGTAGTGTGTCAAAATTACGTTTCCTACTTTTTAATCTAAGTTAAAAATTGCTAACTTGGAAAACCAATATTTAATAAACACATTTATTGTAGTTTTCATAAAAAAATTTAAAAGTATAAGTAAAAATGTGGATTTTGTTTTTCTTATTGCTTCTGTTGTATATGCATGCCTGTGTGTATGTATATAGGTATGTATGTATGTACTACGTATATATTTATATATATATATAACGCTCAAATGTGTTGACTCA